TATCTCCGCATGGACCCAACAAACCTTCGTGCCAAATTTGGTGAAGATCCATCAACAGGGGGCGAAGTAGTGATAAAAACCCCAAAACGCAATGTGCAAAACTGAAAATTTATATGTATCTCTCCGTGGATTCAACAAACCTTCATGCTAGAATTGGTAAAGATCCAAATTTTAAACTTAAATCGTTTCTGAATTAAGCTATTTCCTGTTATATCATCAACGTTTAATAAAAAAAAAACCTCTTTTAATCCATGGAGACTAAATATTAAGAAATCAACAAATATTTGTCCAATTTTGTTGTATATACATTTCATTTTATAATTTAAATACATAGACTAACAACAATATTAAGTTTATAATTTTATTGCTAAGCGACATGACATAAAAGCCGTTGTTGGAAAGTAGTATTACCAAAACGCACTGGCTTTTCTACATATTGGAAGCTGTTAATCTAACTGATTTATACCAATAATTATGCTGTGAATACGCCACGAATTCATTTCTTGAATGGTCTTAATTTTGATTGGCTCACAAAGGAATTTACCGACATTTGACTGCATCAAATGCACCTCTTTGTTGGTGAAGCTTGATATCGCGGTATTGATATATTTCACTTAGCTATGAAATGTGAGGTTATTGTATACTATGGAATGTGAAAGCGCTGCATTAACATAAAGACGGTTAGCAGATGCTAATGAAATAGAACAGAGACATAGGTTAGCAGAGAAAGACAGCAGAGACTCAGAGGAAATCAGAATGTTGGAGAAGTAGAACGGAGACGCAAGTTAAATGTAAATCACATACGAAACTGCAGACAGAATATAGTAGGACCAGTTGATAATAATACTTTCAATAACATTGCCATTCGTGAAATTCATACAATGGCACCGTGTATGTATAGCCTGTAAGTGATTAGTCATTCAGCATACTCTCATAAGTGAATATTTTTAGATGTATTTTCACATCTTTACAGTTCATGACATTTTTATACAACATTGATTATGGTCACCACGAACAGTAAAGGCAGATTGACACTTATGCTGTGTCCTTATAAATCGAGATGTTTATAACGTTTTCAGGTTACTTCGACCACTTTCCTGAAATAGCTGTTTCCAATGCATCTTCAATGTCTGGAGTCACTTATTGGAATGTGATGCATCTCCAAGAGCATTCCATACGTGCTTGAGAAATTTAAAGGCCTTTCCATTCCGCCCATGTTTTCTTCTTCAAAGAATGTGTGACCAGTTTAGGACAGTGGAGTTGGCCTTGTCACTCATTAATCTAAAGTTAGAACCAATTACACCTGCATATGGTAGAACAACGGGTCGTAGGATGTGGTCCCTCTTATGTGTGACATAATGTTACCATTATGCTGGATTTAGAGATAAGTACATTCAACAATGCTTAATTTTGATCGCACCATAGTTCCACCACCGCTGCCTGCTTGTCCTTCCTGTACATAAATAGGTGGATCTGATTTCAGTTTCTCCCTAAAAGAATATTAACCTGTTATCTGGATACAGGGTGAAGCGTAATTTATCTGTTAGATTGGACGTGTTCTTGGGACCATTGCAGGAAAACTGTTTTGTTCCTTGTTTTGAGAAGAATGAACCTCATTGGACATATCACATACGGGCCAGTCTTGTGAAGTCTATTCTTAACAATCTGTACATAAACATGGCGTCAAGTTGCAGATGCGAAACTCTGATTCCATCGATGTCATGATTAGTATTCTATAAGACCATCTAAATCTAATTATTACTTAGTACCTAATTTTTTAAACTATTATTACTAACTAGTTTTTACCCTACGTTTCGGCTGATAATTTGCTAATACAGAGGATATGTAAACAACATAAAGTTAGAACAGTATTCAGAAGCCACAATACGATTACAACCAGTACACACCAATCCATCTAAAGACCCAAAGTGAAGGAAAAACACCTTTTACAGCATCCTGTGTGAATATGGATTACAATACATTAGATAACAAAAATACCAACAAACGTTAGATTTCAAGAACAAAATGGACATAAAATACTGGTTACACCGATCTATCTACAATAGCCAATCATGTCAGAGAAGAAAACCATGTGATAAACTAGTATAACACTAAAATAACAGGATATGAACTACACATGAGGAAATAGAAAGATAAAATAAGCCTTGTACATCCACCTAACTGACAATACTTTCAGCCATCCTAGCAAAGAAGTCAGCAGAACATGGATACCTTCTTGAAAACAGTCAAGTAGTTAGTAGCAATTAGTATCTATTTAACAATTACTTACTAACTAATAATCAGACTGAGGCGGTCGTATACACTACTGGTCATGTCAACATTTTGTATCCAATTGCCACAACCTGACCGTAAGTACTTCTTGATCCATCTCGAAACCTGTACCTTACGATTGCAGTGAGTCAGAATAGAAACTGAAAGGCCTACCCTCAAATAGAAATTTGTTTAGGCAGGATTAGAGTAAAATAATCTATGAGACCTAGGGCGTAGTCAAATACATCTATCGAAAGGGTCCAAAACTGTAATTAGATCTCAAATCGATCAAGTGATGACTGAACTATGAGCTAAAATTTGTACTTGAAAAAAACAAAAAACTCAGAGCCATTCTATGAGCCGCTATGCCGCGGCAAAAAATGTTATTGTTATTCATGTTTTGATGAACATCCGATGAGTTCTCTTTGTTCGTAAATGTACCTGATTTATTCAAAACTGCTGTTTAGTTTTCTACCCTAGTTTCACAAATGTTTTTCTACCTTAGTTTTCACAAATACACCTCAATTTGGAGTAATTGGCAAAAAAAAAAAGTGCCGAAGCTTTGTACTGACCATCGTCATACCACAGTGGTCAGCAAATTATATTTATCTATCTATCTATATAATACATAACTGTCTATGCAGAATCACTATGATGTAACCAGAGCATCTAAAAAGTGTTCTTTGGAACATATTTTTCTGTATGTTTATCATTAAAAAGCCAACAGATGTATTATGGACCTAACCTTCTCGTTCGTTGGACAGTTATAATTTTCTAATAGACGTATTGCATATCTCTGTATATTAGCTTATATTGAGCATAAGAACTAAGAATATATTTTTAGTAATATAAAAGTATATATTCAAATACTAAGATACTTCTATAATTTTCAGTTATTTCTTAACCATGGCAATTCTTATTTTCTGTAGCAAACATCGACCAAAGATAATGTTGTTACCACGCTAAAAACAGCACATTTCATAAAAGGTAAGTTTCTTTTCCACTAGAAATGAAAAATTATAGTTTTGTAAATCTTATTTAATATATTTGTTCTGTGAATGAGTATGTATACGTGTTTTTTACCTTTGTTAGATACTGGAGATAATTCAGAATATACTACATCACAAGAAAACCAAAAACGTGGACAAATGTATGTGGAAGGAAAGCCTCAGTTACTACTTCAGCAAAAGATTAACAGACGACGGCTAAGTATAATTCAAAGCAATAAACCCTGGTTAAACCAGAGTGATCTGGAGAAAAAATGTAACTGTTCTTCCCATGGTTCTTATTATATGAACATAAATGTTTTCAAAGGAAATTTTGTGAAATCTTTGTTGGATAATAAAAACAACCGCAAACTACAAGTAAATCACGCAAAAAGTATAGGAAACGTGCACGTAAATAACTCCCTGACGATGTCACGCAGAAAAGGAATTAAACAAAATTATAAATTGAAAGAACTTTCTCAAACCTGGAAAAAACTAAAACTTTTTAAGACTCATTATTTAAATAAAGGCTTTAGTTTATTTGCGAAAAAAACTATTCATAAAAAAGATATTGCTTTTAATAAAATAAATTATTGGAAGCCACTTATAGGAAAAAAATACAAAGTTGAATTATTACAATCCAGCTACCGTAATTCAAACCAGTTTGACCCTTACACATTACTCGACATTAAAGCTAAATTTGTTAACACAACTCTTAAAGGGGGGAGAAAAGAGGAAAATGTTACGTATATGCTCAGAAAAGAGAAAAGTTTTCATTTAACCTATCCATTTCAAGACAAAACTTTTATCTTGCGTAACAATAAACATGGTACTGAGGTTAACCAACGTATTTTACTGAAAACGAATTCTTCCAAAGTCAATGAAAGTAGTGTAGATTTTAAAATTGAAGTTCAAACATCAAAACCTGAGCATGGAAATATAAATGCTAAACTATTTCTGTTAAGCATGCTTTTTCGGAAAACGCCTAAAAGATCTAATCCTGAGAAATTACATGTACAGTCCAATTCTCATCTTCAATTATACAGAAAATCAAAATTCCCTTATCATTATAGTCTTCAATCAGCCAAAAGGAACAGGCGGTCAGTATCCACAAATAAGGGTATCGCCGCACAACCGAGTGAGGAAATAATAATAGCAGCTTCTCGGCAGAACAAAAACTTTGAAGACTCACACATGGTTGACACTGATACATTTAAGGCCTCGGAAAAAGAAGTTCTGAAAGCCATGGCTCCGATTGTTGTACTGGATTCAGACATGAATCCTACTTTGCATAAATCAATTCAAGTTTTGCCCCCTGTGAATGTTGAAGAACAGTAAAAGCTCTGACAGAATTTTCTAGTTCAAAATAAAAACCAAAGAGCTATTTTGATAAATGTAATCATTATGAAAACGTATAAGTTAGTTTATGGTATTTTGGCAATGGTCTTGAACTAAATTTGGTCATTTTGCTGTACAAAGGTACTTCATCACCGATATTAATAAATTATTACTGGAAAAGATTGAAATATTAAAGTTGTCGGATATTGATTTTTTTATTATTGTTATCTGTCACACGCTTAATGTACAGTATCAGTTATACTAAAACACTGAGTGTTTTTTAAGCTTACAGTAGGTATATCAGTAAGCAAGAGGGAATCCTCAATAGTCCCGGCACTTGAAATTCTTTTAGGCAGGATTAGAATTGTTACGTACTAGAATTTTGAATGGTCTGAAATTGAGTTAACTGATACTTTAAATTTAATAGTTAAATTGTACTTTGGATTTAGTATTTAAATAAATGCCGATATATAGTCAGTTTATGATACTTGCCAACAAGATTAATACACAATTTTCTTTTTTAACACATATACGTTTTAATATACACACAACAATACAATTTACAATAACAGTTATTAGAAACAATGATTTATAAACAAAAGTTTCACAAACAATATAAAGTCTTCTTTCTAGTCTGGAACTTCTTCGATATCTTATCGAGGGTTCACGATGAGTGAGTTAATTATCAGGTACGATTCGTTAACAAAAAATGGAGCTAGCTAGCTTCCTCATTAAACGTGTTTCTACATACTTACCTGGAACACAAATGTTATTTAAAGTAAATACACTAGTATTAATTAAGTTCAGAAATAAGAAATGAAATAGTGAAAATCTCAACTTAGTTTTGATGATTTGGGTTAATTTCAAAGAGTAGAACCAATTCATATTCTAGTAAACATCTGATCTGAAGAGTGTTTGTAATCGGCCTGATGTGTTGAGCAGAGGACTTCTTTCTACAATAAACAAATTATGTTTGAAGTATTGAGCAGAGGGCCTCTTTCTACAATAAACAAATTATGTTTGAAGTATTGAGCAGAGGGCCTCTTTCTACAATAAATAAATTATGTTTGAAGTATTGAGCAGAGAGCCTCTTTCTACAATAAATAAATTATGTTTGAAGTATTGAGCAGAGAGCCTCTTTCTACAATAAATAAATTATGTTTGAAGTATTGAGCAGAGAGCCTCTTTCTACAATAAATAAATTATGTTTGATATTTTATTGCACATGCTTTTCACTAGAAATTGGTAAAGAATGATGTGAATAAACTTCAATTTAGCTTTGCAATGAACTTGTAACACATTCGTTATCCCTTTTAAAGTGTCATATTTCGTCTGTTTAGGCGCTTTAAACAGTTATATTTGATATCACTACAAATTGCAAACTTCATAAATATTAAAGGCTGTTTGTTATGTCTGACTCTGTCTTTTACACAAGGGCCTATACAAGATAAGACATGAAATGCAAATACATAGCTCAAATGTATGAATATTATTGTACACCACACATATATATTTATATTAGGTTGTTAAGCACACAGCTACAGAATGGGCCTTTTGTACTGTGCGTATCACGGGTATCGAAACCTAATTTTTAACACCATAAGTCCGGAGACTTACCGTTAAGCCGCTGGGCGGAGGCAGATTTAATATGATCTTATTTTAAAACTATTTCCGTGTTTTTAAACAAGAGTGAGAAAGACAACAAAAACGTAACAATTTGTGTAAATCCTTTCACAGAATATGTTTCAAAATTTTCAATTTTATCTAAATATTTTATTGGTTTATTTATAGCTTTCATCTGACAGTCCCAAGATTATACGATAGAGTGTGATTTGATAAGCGTGCATAATATTTTGAATATAAATTTACACAGAGATGGAGGAAGCAAAATTTACACGGATGGGGGATAAATGCATGCGAGGCTTGAAAGTGCTAATTATTTGGGGACCAGGGGGTCACCCAAAAAAATGTGGCATTTATAGACTTCAAATGGAGTAATTCCTTAAATATATGTAGTAAAACATGGACGTGTAGTAAGATCACGTTTGTCACAAATTTACCAATAACTTTAAGTATCTTGCATTCGCAGCTTTTTTACCAAATTGTATTGGTTGGTCTACGTACCTTTTTTGGAATCGTGTCGTTTCTGATGTTGTCGAACAAGTTTTTTCTCATTTCATGAACACCCTTGTAGAAACGTTGTACATAATTACATCATTATTCAAACTAAAAAGTTTTAAAACAATTTTTATTTTTAGACGTGTAAATAGAACTGCGTTCCACTGAAATTCAACAAATTGTCAATGCTTACTGTAATAACTTTTTTCTGTGATTTTTAGTAATTGATATTTTTTATCTGAACGGTATAATACGCACGTTTAGGCTAAACCTCTAGTCAGAGACTTCTAACGTTCAGATTAGCCCATAAATATGAGCTCCTGACGTGTGGGAGGGAAGACAGTCAGCAGCACCTGCCACCACCAGGAACGTCTCAGGGATCATCGATTAGGCTGCGAACTTAGCACAATTATTGAAAAAGATGCTAATTTGTATTTGGTGCTTGAATTATCATTAATTTTATTTACCAATTATGCATTTGTAGTTTAAATTTGTTCTTTTTTACTCCACATTTCTTGATTATACAAGAAACAATAATATAACTTGTCAACTAAATACATCAATCTACAGGTTTTATTGCTATTTGAGAAAAAGATTATCATCACTCTCCAAATGTTATTAGTTTTCTGAAAGGATTAAAGGTTTATTGTGAAACCCAACGCTACTCAATAGGCTATCTGTGCTTTGCCCACTGCGGGTATTAAACCTCAATTTTTAGCGGTGTAAGTCCTGAGATTTACCGCTGAGCAACTGGGGGTGGGGTAGGAATAAAGGAACGATTTTATGAAATAAATTTGTAAGGTTGCAAGGAACATTTTTAAATTCCACATTTCCCGGCGGAATAGGCTTACACACAAGGAAATCTGAAGTATTAAGTTTTCTGCCAAACATTTCTTTCATTGCTCAATTTGACAGTACCATAAACGAAAGACGTTTATTTCAGTAGAAAAAAAATAAATAAGAGAAGTGGAAGATTTTTTTTTTCTGAGTAAAAACTGTATATGATATAAATAAAACATTTAAACATCAGTGTGAATAAAATCCAGTCAGAGCTAACGTATTTGTGTGTGTCTTTATGGTTAGTAAGATTACTGATGTAAAGTATGTATAACAAACTCTGGTATAGGTTGTTTAGAATGAGATTACTGCACAGAACTTTGAAAAATAGAAACAGTAACAAAATATTTTAATTCTACAGTAATTATCAGATGGGAGCACATAGTTCTAAAGATAAAGACCGAAGAAGCGAAATGGACATTGTCATTATTAAAAGTGAAGTGTAATGAAATCACTTGAAATGTAGTATTTCGACTATATTGATAGATGGTCATAGAGTTTTTTCAGCATTTTTCTAAGTGAAGCATAAATTTACTAAATGTTAATGCCAAACAAGAAAGCAAAAAATAAAAAATTACAAAGATAATTAAGAAATGAGTTTATGAACTCTTATTTCCGACTGTAAACTCACCTGCGATAATGACTGATGTACTTCACGCTTCAAACAGTTAGGTTTACTTGTGTTCATGTAAAAAAAAAACAAGAACAAAACTCTGGTGTTTTTGATGATTTGTAGCGATATAAGATTGGCTAACAAGAAGTTTAGGTTTGATCAAGTGTTTCAAGATGTGGCTTATAGCTGTATTAATATATATTCAGGAATAGCCTCTAAGTTATTTATTGGTAAAATTTGAGTAATTAGGATAAGTTAGATAAAACAGGGTTTCACTATTTCAGATGTTGATTAAAGTAGAATTCGATCATGCTTGTTTATGTATTAAGTATAGGATTTTTGAAATTACAATACTGAATAAAATTACATAAGCTATATTAACAACATCTCCAAAATAGACACCCCCCCCCCCAAACAAAAAGAACAAATACTTGTAGAAGCCATATATCATCATCCCCTGAAGAATTTACATTACGACAGAAAAAGTTTTGATAAAGCAAAGCAAAGTCAGTTTGCAGCTATCCGAAAGAATAACTTATGTAGCAATGCTGATAATATACATATATATGGACAGGAGGCTCTATACCGTATATGAGTAATTATCCTTTACAGGTTGTTTATATATATAGGTATAAGTGCTTTTACTGTCACAATATGCATAGGAATAGTTACCAACGGTACAAGCTACCTGTATATGCACTTTTTTCTCGTATTAAAACAAAAACACATTCTAAAATTAAGTTAATAGTAGGAACGAGACACGTTTTCGTAAGCACTCTACCATACATTGAAAATTCTTCTTGAGTTAGTGTTTAAGTAGCATCACCACCCTTTGCATAATAGGTTTTACATAATTGATATTGTGCAACCATGTTTCTGTGACCCGTCGCATAAAAGCTAAGATCTTACCACAACTGTAAAGAATGAGTACTAGTATAAATTAACTTTTTAAAAGTCGTGTAAAAACGGAATTTATTGTTTTTGCCCATACAATTTGCTTCTACGTTTAAGATTTATTTTCAGAAACATTGTATACATTTTTTTATACAAAGTAAGAACTTACAAGTTCTTTGTAGTTGCTCCGTAAAGAGAAAACGTTGAACAACATTTTAAATCGTCGAAAAATAACCAGAAACTAAGTAATGCTTAAACTATACTAGATGTACTTGCGCAGGGTCCCCGAAAGTGTTCTGTTTCAAAAGTAACTAAAACCAAAACTAACGTCATTTTAGTGTCTACTGACTGACTGACTAAATCGGCAGCACTAAGTTTGAATTATTCCGCGTGAATATATATATATATATGTGTGTGTGTGTGTGTGTGTATACACTCGCACATGAACTTTATTGTCAAATAGAAATAATAAAATAGGTGACCGCCCCCTTTCGAAGAAATAGCAGGCGGTGTGAATTACAAAATGGAGAAAAGACTAAAGTATGTAACAAATTAGCAATTATTTTAACATGTAAAATCTTAAAGTCTATCAAATTATTTCATTTCCGAAATAGCTGAACTAATACGTTACGAAGAACTATTTCTCAGCAAGTAATTTCAGCGTAGTAATCTCTAGCAAAATCGGTGATATAATAGTTAACTTATAATTT